AAAGAGGCAAAATACTCTAAATCAACCAAAAGACAATTCAGGCCCTCACCAGAGGCCCAGGACAGTTCTACAGCTCCTGGTATAACCAAATCTGTGTTTTTAACCAGCTGTGCCACTATGACTCCCAGGCAAATGGAGACTAAAGGGGATTAAAAAACTGGAAGACTCTTAGGAGCCAGTCAATTCCAGATTACCTTCAGAGCAGGTAACCAAAACACCAAAGTTATTTCTGGAAGTATTTAGAATGCATTTTAAAATCATCTATTCTTCTTTAAGTTTGGCCATTTCAAAGAAAACCTAATAGCAACTGGAGAGACGACCAGTAGTTTGAATTCTTCAGTATACTAGAAAGGAACCAGTCAAGGTTAACACACTGGACAGCAACTAGTCAAGGTTAGCAAATGGGAGAACTGGTCAAGGTTAACACACCGGACAGGAACTAGTCAAGACAGCTGACCAGAGGCTGTAACAGCAGAAATGAGGCGTCTGGGGACAAGCAGGAGTGACTGTACTCTGAGTCTCAGAACAAACGACAGGCAACCTTCCATGCACATGTGGACGTCAGGGGGCAGGGAACGAGTTTACTGCCGCGATAACCAAATGGCCAGAATACCCAAATCGTCCCTCCTCAGAACAAGCATTTGAAATACGTAAAAGGATTTGCTTTTATCAGCCCACTTGATATATCAACTGCCGCATCCCAATTGCCGTGTAATTCCAATTTCACCGAAGCAAGCCAACCATTCCTGGAATATGAACTGTCACAAAGGCCAAAGAAGCCATTCTAAGAAACCTCATTTCAGACTCTCGTAATTCACAGCAACCATGAGACTCGAGTAGGAAGAAATACTGAGAAGCGGACAAACAGACCCAACCCTAACGGTCACACAGCTCCAAGCAGCCATTCCTAAACAGGACAGTCGTCTTCTGGGTGACACAAGCACAAAGGAGTGGCGAGAAGGGAGTGGACGAAGAGAAGGGCTCCTAGAGACCTACCTTGTAGAAGGGCTCCATTTCTCTTGAAGAAAGTGCTGCCCGGCCAGATGGGTGGACCTGATGTGCTGAGAGAGAAGAGAAGCAAGCATCAGAACAAGGCCGTTTCCACCCACCCAGCTGCGATCCCTTCTCCAACACCACTCAACATGGCCTTAGCACATTTTTTAGTGATGCATTATGAATACTCTGAAAATGCATCGTTAGAAACCACTAGGATTGTTTTTATTACAGGTTGAGAATCCCCCATGCAAAATGCTTGGATAATATCTGAAATACTTTAAATTTTGAACTGTTCCAGATTTGGGAATATTTGCATATAATACTGAGCTATCTTGAGGATGGGGCCAAAATCTAACCACAAAATGCATGTATGTTTCATATGTGCCTTATACACATAATCTAAAGGTAATTTCATACAATATTTTTGCATTGCAATGTTTTGATTATGACTTACCACATGAGGTCAGGTATGAAATTTTCCCTTTGTGGCACCATGGTGGTGCTCAAAAGTTTCGAATTGGGGCCAGCAAGTGGTATGGCGATTAAGTCACTGGAATTCCACATGGCTAAGCGTGGTTCAAGCCCTGGACCTGGTAGCTTGAAAATCATGCTGGTCATGTGTGCTCCAAATCCCAAGAAACAAGGAGAGGGGACTATGGCATGGCCGTTACCCCTGGGGGAAGTGGGAGAGCATATTTCTCACCTTCCCTCTCACTGTCTCTCTCTGGCAAGCACATATGCCCTATAGCAGAAACCTTAAAAAGATAGTTCTAAATTTTGGAGCATTTCAGATTTGGGATTCTTGAATTAGGGATTCTCAATCTGTATAAATAGGCATCATATTTCATAGTGCAGGACCTGCTACCTTCACCCTAGTCACACCTAGGCCTTGAAATCACCTGCAGGTAAACAAAATGACATATTCATACAGTTCAACGATATACCATGTAACTTAAGAATTCTTGCTAACCTAATCATTACTTCATGAACATTTATGTGGCAAAGAACTCGTATCCACATCTTCTGAAACCAAGCAGGCTTTCCAACATTTTCTGGTGTCACCTGGCTGTTCAAAATGCAAACTTGCCTTTCTTGGCATTTCTACCACTAAATCCTTAATGCACCGATATGACCTCGATGAACTCTTGGACTCCTTCTATTCTCCTTTCATATCCTGGTTTCAATTGCTTGGCTTGAAATGTTGTACTCTAAACCCTATAAAACATTTTGCAGATATGTTACCACCCACAGTCTGATAACACGAGAGGCAAGAAAATAAAAAAGATCAATATATCATGAAGACACTTAGTGCATTTATAAATAAGCATTTTCACTGTTCTAAGGCATCTAGTGAAAAACTGTAGAACCAATCAAGCCAGTCTTAGTTAAATAGCCTTAGAGTAGAAAGCAGGTACTCTAAATCAAGGATTGGTTTAAGTTAACCATGAGAAAGCACTTAGTTGGGAATGTGACTACTCACAGCCCATGAAGTAGTATAAGTGACCTTCACCAAAACAGCACATGGAAAATGACACTAACGCATCAATCACCCTCAAATTACATAAACAAGAAACAAACAAAAACTGTTGTAGTAATATATTTTTGTAAGACACACACACACAAAACAAAATCTGAATGGCTATGTAATGAATGCCTCACCAGTCAACTGAGCTTACTAGTTATTATTTTAATTGTTGGAGAGCACACGGGTGTGTGTGTGTGTGTGTGTGTGTGTGAGAGAGAGAGAGAGAGAGAGAGAGAGAGAAAACTCCAAACAGGGCATGATCACAAGCCTTTCCCTTCATTTCTCTGTCCCATCAAGATTTTAGGCACATACTCACATGTGCTCAGCATGTTTCTCAAGTCACCAGAACCAGCATTTGAATCCCAGAAAGTCCTGTGGGATCTAGCACCCTATGCACTACGTTTAATGGCTGCACTATGGCCCCAGCCCCAAAGGTCTCTAGTTATGTCAAACAGCAATGCCATTAATAAGGAGAAAACTGCCAATGACACATTCTGCCACTAGAATTTCAGTACTGGAAGTAGCAATAATGCAGCAGGTATAGGAACATATTACTTGACTGAGGAATAGGGAGAGAAGGAAAAAGAGTTTCAGCACAAATACAACATCACATATCAAAATAATGTCAAACATGCTAGAAAACACACACTAGGAACCACGTTAATGAACCTCTTTGCTTCATTTGCATCCGCTCTACTCAGATGAGAAAAATACATTTCAGCTATGGCTCTTGCCTGACTCTCAGCCCTGGCAGTGTGGCCTCTGAGTGGCCAGGACTTGCACAGAACAATTGTAGACCTGGCTGGGGTCTCAGGGATGCAAGGTGCTAATGGCAAGCAGATTCCTCTTCCATCTGATTCCTGTCCTATTCTGTTGAGGAAGTGTTAAGGCTCAAAGTTACATGAAGAATAACGTGCATTGAAATGCTTAAGATTATCTTTTCACAACCCCAGTAAGCTCTCAGGATTTTCCCATCTTATTTTTTATAACAAAGCAGGAAACAGCAAACTGGCCGTTGCCAATACAAAATCACCTGATGTACAAAAATATTTAAAAACAGAGGATTTCATTATAGAGGAGCTGGTGCTTCTAGAGAATTCAGTAATCGTGTGTTACTGCAGGAACCTGAATATCCAGCTGACCTCCATCAAGATCTCCTTTTTACACTGACCTTGATTTGGATGAAAACTGAGTAGACAGGAGGGATGGAACCAACATGGAGAGCTGAGGTCGGATAAATCTAGCGGTTTAGATAACGAAAAGTCGCTGTGTGATAAAAATCTACTTAAAGATTTCTATAACAGCCTTTTAACACTGGGAAGTCACTGATCGCTGTTCTCCAGTCTGCTTGCTGTGCAGGCCATCAAATCCATACTCCAGCAGAAGAGGGAGCTTGGGGCTGACCTGCCACCTTCCCCTGCCAGCCCCGTTGGACCTGGGGAATTTGCATGTGGTCTCTTTGCAGCTCAGGCTAAGTCAGTTCCTGTCATGCTAACTGCAAAGCTTTTGAGCACCTCAACCCAGTACTCTACACTTTTCTTTAGAATGGTACCATAAAGAAGACCTTTCCAAAGACTCGAAAATTTATAAAACCTCTATTTAAAACTATGTCTGGGGAGGGGAGAGCAGCAGGTGGTACAGTGGTGAAAGTGCTGGACTCCCATGTGATTGACCACAGTTCGAGTCCTGAACCAGGCAGCTTGAAACTCACTCTGGGAGCATGTACATGCATGCCTAAAATCCCAGGAGAAGAATGGAGAAGAGGGGATCGGGGATCACGACATGGCCATTCCCCAGGGAGTGATTTCTTGCTTTCTGTCTCTTTGGTAAGTGCACATGCCCTATAACAAGAAAAAAAAAATCTGTCAACAAAACAAAACACAAAAATCTGTGCTTGGTGTTGGAGAAAGACAGGAAGAAAAAATAATAACCTTATTTTATGACCTCTAAGAGCTTACTGACCAAGCTCCAACCTCCTATGTCCGATCTAAAGAGACAAGAAATGCCCACAGAGAGGCAGATGACTATGGCTGCAATGGCTGTGGGTTGGAGAGGCAGAAAACGAGATTTTGTATCTGGAGACATTCCTGCCTGATCAGCTTTTTGAGCTCAGAGTTAGCTAGGGGGCTAGACAGTGGCAGAGCAGTAAAATGTGATGCTCTGCAAGAAGGTTCTAGTTTCCTACTCAGAGACCTCCCTGAGTATGTAGGGCATGCATGTGCTCATGACCCAGGGCTGGCTGAGGCTGGGGGTGAACCACAGCATCGAGACCCTGTCGGGCTGCTGCTTCTCTCTGTCTCTATTTCTGCCTCTCAAGTTCATGGAAGAAGTAACTAAATAAACTTAAAAAGAAGAAAAAATTCAAAGTTAGTTAAAAATACATAAATGTGGGGGCCAGCAGGTGGTGTGGTGGTTAAAGACACTGGACTCCCACATAGCCGACCGTGGTTCAAGTCCTGGACCTGGCGGCTTGCTTTCTCGCTTTCTCTCTCTCTCTCTCTCTCATCTCAAACTGGAAAATAATAAGAGTAAATGAAGTGAAATAAAAAAAATTTTAAAAACCCATTAATATAAAATTACTTAATAATGCGTATTAACCAGGACCAGCAGATGGCGTAATGGTTATGTCACTGAACTCCCATGCGATTGACCATGGTTTGAGTCCCAGACCCTGCAGTTTAAAACTCAAACCAGGCACGTGTGCGTGTCTGCCCAAAATCCTGAGAGGAGAACAGAGGAGAAGGTATTGCAGCAAGGCCATCCCCCTGTGGGGGTGATTTCTTACTTTCTGTTTCTCCATCTCTGTCTTCCTGGCGAGTACATGCCAGAGAATATTAAAAACAAACAAACAAATAACTCTCTCTCTAAAAAAATGGGTATTAACCGTGGTATTCAGAGAAGCTAGAGGCCAGGACTTTGTGGGACAAGTTGCAAATCACTCTTTCATGTGGCAAGTGAAGAGAAGGGAGGTAAGGAGGTGGGTACAAGGGGAGAACGGGGACTCTCCACACCCCGTTACATCAGCATCAGTGACTTGTAAGTGGTGACCACCATGAGAAATGGCCACTAGGGCCTGTTAATCCTAACTGAGTAGGTTTTTTTTTTTTTTTTGGAGAGATTTTCACTGTAGGGCGCGTGTGCTCGTCAGACAGACAGAGAGAGACATAGAGACAGAAAGCGAGAAATCACCCCCGAGGGGGGATGGTCACGCCACAATCCCTTCTCCTCCATTCTCCTCTCAGGATCTTGGGCACACACGCACACGCGCCCGGCGTGAGTTTTAAGCCACCGGGTCCGGGACACGAACCGCGGTCGACTACGTGGGAGTCCAGCGACATAGCCATTATGCTAACTGCTGGTTCCCCTAACTGAGTAGGTTTTAATCACGTCACAGTTGTGCTCACACCACTTGACTCTGAGATAGCAAGTTACCATTTTCCAAACACAGTGATCAACACTTTCCCAAGGGCCCCTCTGTCCTATGTCATGGAAAGTCAGAAGTCACCTCCTGCATTTCTTAGAAGAGGACAGATGTCCTCA